CTCATGCTATTCTCCTTTGGGGGAACTGTGTTATTCTTTTGTGAGGAGTTTGTGTATTATTTTGTGGAGAGTCTTTTATTTTTCTTTTTCGTTTGTAGTGTGTGTTGTGGTGTATAGGCTGTCTTGGGCAGTCTTCCTATTCTGGCTAGTGAGCCGGATGTAATTATGTGTTTTTTGTTAATGAATCTATCATTTCGGAAAAAAAAAACAGAAGAAGTGTGTTATTTTGAATATAGTAGAATGAATGGATGATTTTGAATTCGAAATTAAGTAATATTTAAAATATAATGATTAAAGTTGATGTGATATAAAAGTAATAGATAGATTATTAAAAGTAAAAAGTAATTAATTATGTGAGTGGATGAATATTGAATTAAAGTTGAGATGATGTATGAGAATGGTTATTTGATATTATTTAATTATATTATAAAAAACAGGAGAGTTGAGTTGAGTTAGATGATTGGATATAAAATAACTCAGCCAGTTATAGTCGGTCATAACTCATATCGATTCACGCCCACTACGCCAAAAAAGAGGCTTCACATAACATTTTTTTCGTTACAGAGTGTTGTCTGAAGACCGATCTCTTCACATAACACTTTCACACACATTTCACAAACACTTTTTATATTAAGCATCATGTGAAAAACCTTCATATAACATTTTTTTATGTTAAGCGTTATTTATAATATTAATCAGATGATTTTGTTTTTTTAACAGAACGTGTTATTTAAAATGATGATAATATATAATAACAATTTTCTAAACAAGCGTTTACCCGCGGGTCGGACAGTAAGAGAGGACAATTAGGGCAGAGAGGAGATTACTACTTGCTTTACTAGTACTTAGACTATATTTATCCACAACCCAATCCAACCAACCCAATAATAAAAAATTTATTTTTCTCTCTTTCACCTACACAACCCAATTTTTAACAACCTACATATCTTTATCCCCAACCTAACCCAACCCAACATAATATTTATTTTATTTTTATTTATATATTTATTTATTAAATATTATCTACAATAAATTTTTTGGTATTGTTTTATCTACAATCCAACCAAACATAATAATTTCAATCGTGTTCCAAAACATATCAAGAGTGGTCTTTATTTGGAGAGAATGAAAAATACGAATTTTGATATTTTTTATTTAATTTTTTGATATAAAATAATATTAATAATTTAAGTTATACTTATCTTATCATTTAAATTTATAGTAGAACAATAAAAATAGGACAAGTGTCTCATTTCTCTCTACCTTTTATCCAAAAGCATGAAAAAAAAAGTAGCAGCGACAATCTTTTATCCAAAAGCATGAAAAAAAAAGGGTAGCAACGGTCGATTACGACCCAAGGTCATATTGTGACCTGAGTCGCCCAAATTCTCTCATTTTTTTTTTATATTTTTTTTTCTTGGTGACCCAACTTATTGGGTCAGTATCGAAGATTTGCCTATAAAATAACGGTGTCGCCCAGTGGAAAACATCCAAGTGTCAGAATAAAAACTCTGCTTTTTACCCGTTGCCAATATCCAAGAGTCATAATTTCAAAGAAAAAAAGAATGCATTGTGCTTTGACTGGATTAACAGTCAATTTAAGACTATGCATTGTTGTTCAACTTTATTTTATCAAATATAATAAATAAATATTAAAAGTAGACCATTCACCTATTTTTCATTGTAAAATCAATATACGTAAAATTAGAAAACAATGGAATGTTAATTCAGTGAAATAAGGTTTTCCCACCCAAAAAAAAAAAAAAAAAAAATATCTGAGATAAGAAAGTGGAAAAAAATATTTTTTTAAAAAATAAAGTAGATTTAAAATTTTGAATAAAATGAGATAAAAATGATTAAAACTGATGTGATATAAATAATAGTATAATTTAAATCGAAACTAATTAAAGTGATTGTTACTATCGAAGCTCGTTCCATTGATAGAGCAATTCAATTATATCGAATGATAGACTAAATTTTACTATTTGACTTAATTCATTATACAACATATTTTTTTTTCCATAATTAATTAATAATAATATAAAACATTGAATGAATCACCTACATGTATAAACATAATTTTGAAATATTAAAAATTATTTTACTTGCACTTTAGTAGTACTCCTAAAAAAGAGATTTACATTTGCTATAGGTCTCCCAGTGGAACATGCAAGTGTCAAAAGTGTTGAAAAAAAAAAACTCTGCTTTTTACCCGTTGCCAATATTCAAGAACCATAATTTCAAAGAATAAAAGAAAAAGAGAGCTTCAATGTAAACTGTAATGGCACAAACTTTGAAGAGAAGCTCTGTTCTACCAATGGCGTCGAGGGATCCTTCGCCGGAGTTCTTCAAAAGCTCCGCCATGACGAAAGCCGGAGCTTTTGCTGCCATCTTTTACATGGCTTGTGCTGGTATTCTGTTCCTTTGACTATAATATACTAAGCTTGTAGCTTTTACTTAGTTTATTTTCATTATTTTTTGTCGGTTTTCTCGGTCGCTTTCCTTTTGTAGCTGATTTTTGGGATTTGATTATTGATCATGTAGAGCTCTCTTATACTGATTTATGTTGAAATGTTCTTAACTGTAGTTTTTTGTTTCATTTATGTTGGAATTTAGTGACTTTTAGAGTTTTTGGACTCTTTTCTTGTGTAGTGTATGGTAAGAAAAAGAATGATTTTTTCTCTTTTTCATTTAATTTTTTTTGCCTTTAATGGCAAAATTCAAATTATTATGCAGTGATCATTGCTTTAAAGACTGAATCAGAACTCAACATACTTTATATGTATAAGAGATTACTTTGGCTGCCATGATCTTACATACATATCCTGTTTTTGTTTTTAGTCCGAGGCTAACCGTGCTTCGCTCGGAATTTTGTAATGCCGAAAAGCAAGTAATCTTTTCAATCTCATCATCATTTATCGAACTTACTTCTTTCTATTTTCACAGTCCTCTTGATGATGTTCAATAAAGCTGCTCTTTCTTCTTACAGTTTCCCGTGTGCCAACGTCATCACCCTGTGCCAGGTGAATCGTAAAATGCCTCTAACATCTATATTTTGTGTCTGAGATATATATAATTCATCTTTCGCATTTTCAAGGATCTCATAAATCTCATTGTTATATAATCGGTTTTATACATCGTTTGCAGATGATATGTTCGTGTTGCTTTCTTTACATGCTACGAAGTCTAAAGCTCATTTCTTTTACCACCACCAACGAATCCACACTCCTAACCGAGACTTCCAAATCAGTATATGTTCCGATTAGGACATTCTTCACCACTTCACCTGTTTCCTTTACCTATTTGCTTTACATGGTAAATAAATTTCCCGTTTATATTTTGATATTTACTGCATTTTTTTCTGTGTTGTAATAACTTGTAAGACAAGTCTGATTTTTCGAACGTTTTCTCTCGACTTCTTCACAATGAAGCTAGCGAGTATGGAGTCTGTTAGGAATGTGAATGTGCCCATGTATACAACCTTAAGAAGAACTACAATCATACTCACAATGATGCTCGAGTATGTTCTCGTCAGGCAGAGGTATACACGTTGTATTCTTGGAAGGTAAAGCCTATTTTAATTCTATATATGTTTTATTTTTTTTTTCAGTTAATATATTTAGTTCGACGAACAATTTTAAGCGTGTCCTTTTTTTTTTGCTAGTGTGGTGTTAATTATGTTGGGTGCTTTTGTTGCGGGATCGCGAGACTTTTCATTCGACTCCTATGGTTATATAGTTGTTCTCATGTCGAACATCACAACATCTGTGTATCTAATGACCATAGCACGAATAGGTATTTTTTCGCTATTCATTTCAATTTGCCGAAATTTTTTTCAGGCAAGTAACTTCATTAGCCTCGATCGAACTCTTGCTGATAGTTTTATTTTGACAGGGAAATCTAGTGGGCTCAATAGCTTTGGCCTTATGTGGTGCAATGGTGAGTGTGTGTGTTTGTGTGAGTGACCATAAGTTTGTACTTAACTTACCCTCTCTTAGTTCTGATTTATGTATTCTTTTTTTTTTTCCCTTTACTTTTGGTGACGCGTAGGAATTTTATGTGGGATTGTTTTATCGGTTTGGACGTTTGTCAGTGGCGATTTCGACACGACAATGAAGTTTCCATATTTGCGTTCTCCGGGATTTATGGTAATGTACATCTATTCGCTTGTATTTACCATTTTTTTTTCTATAGTTAATGTAAGATTGTAAGTTGTTATTTCCCTAACATAACTTGAGATGGATGTTTTCGTATTTGTTTAATTCCTCGTCGAGTTTTAGTTTGTTATGCACTTTTCGTCTGTAAAATCTCGATTTTGTTCTGTGACCAGGCAGTACTACTTTTGTCCTGCATTCTGGCCTTCCTTCTCAATTATAGTGTCTTTCTCAATACAACTCTCAACTCAGCACTCACACAGACAGTCTGTGGTAACTTGAAGGTCTGTTTTACTAATTAGTTTTCATCTTTGAGCTCAAATTGCCCAAAACAAACAGAAAAAGAAACGACTAGTTCGCGCGTAAACCCTGTTTTAGTGTTTTTTGCAGGACGTCTTCACGGTTTTGCTCGGGTGGACTATTTTCGGAGGACTGCCGTTCGATTTGGTAAGTAGAGAAACTGATGTATGGCCTAAATAAGCACAAAATGAATAAATTCATGTTACTAACTAATTATCACTCGAATTTTACACGGTACAGTTGAATGTCGTAGGGCAGCTTATCGGCTTCCTTGGCTCGGCCATGTATGCATACTACAAGCTTACTGGGAAATAAACAACTTAATCTGAATATGTCCCACATTGTAGAAGAAGAAGAAGGTCATGATGGTTATGAAGTCTGAGGTGTCATTTATAATCTGTAAATGGTGACTCCATTATAAGTGTTTTAGCTCTCAGAATCAGACAAGCACTTGTGTACATTGCCATGCTGGCTTTTTTTTTTCTTTGTCTGATTTTGGAAAACTTGTCCCTACTTAATTGGAATATGTAATGTTTTTTTTT